GAGTGCTATTAGCCAGGGGGTAGGATTCGTGTCCCTGGCCTCTGTTTGTCAGAGGCTGGAGATGGATGGCAGGAGACAAATTACTTAATCATTGTCTTCGGTCCACCCTTTCTGGGGCACCTGGTACTGGCCACTGTTGGCAGACAGGCTACTGGGCTAGATGGACCTTTGGTCTGACCCAGTACGTCCGTTCTTATGTTCTTATGTTAATTACCATTGTTATTTCTTTGTTGCCATACAGTAGTAGCTTAAGACTTAAACAAATGCTTAATTTTGTCCATTGTGAGAGGTATATTGACTTCACAGTGTGTAAAGTTAAGCATACACATAAGCTGTTGCAAAATCAGGGCCACAGAGTTCAAACTTATTCCCACTGAAATCAAAGAGAAATTAGTCACAGATTTCAATAGCTGTATTGAGGGTTTTGGTGGAGGCACTTAGCTTTGTCTCCTTACACCAACTGTAGAGCACGACATGGTCCTTTATGTCTCGTTGCTTAAGCATTTTCATATTCCCCTACACTATTAGATTGGAGAAAACTGTTCACAGACAGAGCTAATAGATTTGCCTTAATAAAACTTTGATGAAATTGTCAGTTTAACTATGAGTTAAGGCAAAAAGATTTTCATTACAAACTTCTTTGGTCCTATTACCAGTGATGTCAATGGAGATTTTTCCATTGGCTTCAGAAAAAACTAGGGCCCTGTGTTATTTCTGTGAATTTCTATTTTTGCTCTTATGTCTCTTTTCCCCCCCCCAAGTTTTTCATTATTTTTGTCTAATATGGCTTCCAAAGCTTGCAGCTTTCAAATGTTTTAACAGATCATGGGCCAAATACATCTCTGCTGTAGCTCCAGAGTCCAACATTCATCAAAGGGTGAATTTAGGCCAAGTAAGCTGAAGTTGGATGTTAAACTGCTATAAGTTCACATACCACTGCACAAGGAGAGGAAAAACACTATTAATCTCTTAGTGGAAAATGGTCCCCAATCAAGTTTTCATATGCAGTATTTCAAAGATGCCATAAATTGCATTGTATGGCTGCAGATAATGGAAAGTCTAAGAGGCAGATTATGCTCTCCTCTCTATAATGCAGGGATGAGGAATCTTTTTTGCGTCGGGGGCCACTGACCCACAGAAAAATCAGTTGGTGGCCGCACACAAGTGCGAAAAAAACCCTTCACTGATGTTGCCCTCAACTGAGAATGAAAAAGACACTTCCCACATTCTAGGGCAGCTCAGCCTAGTAGATCTTGTATGCTCCAGCCCCAAGGTGGGGCAGTGGTGGGATAGCCAGCTTGGGCTCTTCAATGCTGAGAGGGTCCTGAGCCTCAAGGCTGGATCCAGGCAACCCGCAGACCTGAGATTCCCCATCCGTGCTCTAACGGGACCTCATCTCAACCCTTTACTGCCATTGGTGAGCAGTTTCGTGTACAAGTATTTCTACTGAGGGCAATGGGAGTGTTCATATTAGTAATTTATCGAGTGGGAGTAAAGGATTCATAATGTAATCACTGATTTTGGTGACACCACTTTTGCAATAAGGTATGACTCAACAGAAATGGCAGAATCGATCCTTAAATCAATAAAGTTACACTCGACTATTATGACAAATTATAATGTAAGTATAATAAGAAATTACAAGTTCTGTTCTGGTACTTGTCTCATACCCATCTCTGTACTATCCTTCCAAAAGTGCAGTAGATTGCAGTAGAAACACACATGTATTTCTAAGATTCTGGGGAATATTATGTTGTATTATGTGAGAACTAATACGTGACTATGTACAGATCCTGGTAATGAATGTATTTTTATGAGCACAAACAAAAAGGGCCAAATTATAGCTGCTCATACTATAACTATGTCATTTCCTAACATCAGAGTGCAACCTTAATGTTCCATTAACATAGTTTTCTATTGGAATTATGCTAATTCCTCTTTCTCCTCAGTGTTTATGTTCTTCAAATATTTGCAGACTATTATCATGCACCTAGAATGCTGTTGGTGCTATATAAATACTAAGCTATAACAATGAGTCCTCCTTACCTTCACTACTCCTTAGTTATTGTGAAATAATTCAGTGTAATCAAGCATTATGAGAAGTAAAAAGAGAGATTGCATAAAGGATAATTCCAAAAAGATTTATACGTAGGCTAAGGTAATGAAGTGTGCTACTGTAATATATAACAGAGAGCCGTATGGAACAATATTTACTGTAGGAATTATATAGCATCTTATTAAACAACTGTACAAACAATAAATAATCTTCACAACCAGTGTTGGTTTATCCTATGGGCAAGGCCTCTGGAGAATTTTAAATGACGGTTATCTTCCACCCATCAAAAAGCAAGAGAAGATTCTCAACTGATTTTGGGAGGGCTTTCCATTTGTGTTTTCATTTGAATCACTTGTATTTCTGATGTCAAGTATCAGAGGGGTAGCCGTGTTAGTCTGAATCTGCAAAAGCGGCGAGGAGTCTTGTGGCACCTTATAGACTAACTGAAGTGTAGGAGCATAAGCTTCCGTGGGCAAAGACCCACTTCGTCAGATGCATGTCATTTCTGATAATGTATTGTATTTCTGATAATGACCGGATGAATGGCTCTTTGTTTGCCAGTACACCATGGATGGGAATTGCAAAGACATCTTTGCCCCTTCCGTTCAAAAGTCTACTGATTTTTATAAGCTGCTGAAGGATTTCTGAAGTTTCTTTCAAATCCCATAGGTGCTTTGGAAAACCTCACTCCATATCCAGAGCTTTTTTGTTTTCACTTGAAATTTTGCCTCTTTGTTGACTTCTGTGTCAGTACCCTATATGATTGAGGTATAATTTACAGCTGTTCCACGAGTTACGACCACCTCCAGTTATGACCATCCGCACTTACGACCAAAGTGGTTGTAAATGCAGATCCGAGTTACGAATGGCGATCCTCCGCACTTACGAACAGCGCAGTCGCCATGTAACTCTATGGGATCTGAGTTACGAACACTTTGAGTTATGGACCAAGTGTTGGTCCGTAATTTGTTCGTAACTCAGGGAGTGGCTGTATTACCTTTCTTGCCTTTCAGTAAAGCAAGTGGAGAGAAAGGTGATAACTTCTTAATAGAAAGAACAACAGTAACTTTGAATCCATTTCTTCTAAACTTCTTTTTTCTTAAAGCTTCTTTTTTGTATTTAAAAGTAAGGGAAATCAGAGGTTTTATCTGTGGGACAGGTTCTCCCACCTTAAAGCCAATGCTCATGTTTTCAAAAGCAAGTAAATAAGCTGGTGTTCAAATCCATAACGTTAATTAGCCCCTGTGGAGAATTGCCCCAGGGGCCCACCCCAGCTGGGGTGACCCAGTGTGAGCCGGTTCCCACATTTCTCTAGCCCTCGGAGGGGGGGGGAGGAAGGGGAGAGAGGATTGGGACTGTGGGTCCAATGCCCTTTTACCTATGTTCCCCATTCCTGGGCGACTTCCCCTCTTAATAGGGTCCGCTCCAAGGTTACGGACAGCCCCCTGGAACAATTCCTTCCATATATTCTGTAGTCCTAGTCCCCTGGCCACCTTTGGCCACCCCTGGGTCCTCAGTTCAGCCCAATACACTCGGCATGCACAATATCTTCACTTGTGACTAATTAATCTGCCTGTCTGCACAGACTCTGTCTCTTGACTCAATGGGGTGGGGACTAGGGGGACCCATACCCTCCCACTCCTCTGGGTCCCAGCCCAGAGCCCTTAAGGTAGGAACAAATGCCACTACCTGGCTGGTGGGGGAAGACCCCAAAACCCACCAACCGCTCAGGGTTTCGGCCCACCCTGGGCCTCTTCCTACCCATACCCGGACTCACCACGCATGGCACCTTCCCAGAGCTGTCTCTTCTCTGGCCTGGCACCCCTGGTACTGCTCTGGAGTCCTTCCAGCATCTGGGCAGTTAGGCTGAATCCGGGGGCCTGGTGCTCCACCTCCTATTGCTCTCTCAGGCTCGGCCCCTTGTGGCTGCTCGCGACCTGCTTGGCCGCGGTAGGTGAGGGTGGGACTTTCTTCCCTTCTGTTGGGCCAGCTGGCATTTTTCCTGCTGGCGGCCCAGCTCCTCCTTCCTCTCTCTGGCTCTCCTCACTACCGGCATTTAAAACACCCGGCACCCGGTTTGACCATGTGCCACATCAGAGCGAAGGCGGGGCCGGCTGGCTGCACTGCTCGACCGCAGCTCTGACCCAGTGGCAGGGGCTTTTCGCCCCATCAGAGCCCCTAACGCCCAATGAACTCAATGAATGTTTAGTGCCTAAATATCTTTGAGGATCTGTGACTAGGATCCTAAGTCCCATTTTCAAAAGTCACTTAGGAGCCTAAGTTCTATTGGCTTTCCATGGGACTGTGTCTTCTAAGGCTACATCTAGACTAGCACTTTTTATTGGAAAAAGGTACACAAATTGTGCTCCACAATTTGCATACCTTTTTTCAATATTTTTTTTGGAAGAGGCTTTTCGGAAAGTTGGCCTGTCTACCCAAATTTTGGAAAAGCCTCCTCTTTTGGAAAAGCCCTTCTTCCTCATGAAATGAGGAAGACAGGGCTTCTGAAAGAGTGCGTCTGCTCTTCCACCAAAAATGTTGGAAGAACAAGCATGTTCCCTGGGTGGTATCCCAGAAAACTCTGTAGTCTAGACATAGCCTCCTTGACTAAGTTATTTTTGAAAAAGGCACTTTGTCCCAGATTTTATTAAAAAATACTTAAGCATTGTTCCACTCAGTTTTTCAAGGTCTAAGTAGCACCTAAGAGCCCAAGTCTCATGGAAAGTCAATGGATGCTCCTTTTGACCCTTTTCTCATAGGCTGATACTAATGAGTAGACTCTTGTGTCCATGTGTAGTCCCATTGCAAGGGTCCTCTCACATACACTAATTTACAGAATTGGGCTTGTGTATATGTTGAAAGTATGACCTAAAATAGCAGTCACTGATGTCATAGAGACCTGGGGGGAGAGGAATTCCATGGAACTTTAGGCTGTGAGAGAAAATCTAGCAGATAGTTGGGCGCCTTCAGACTAGACAGTAATGTGAAGGTTGTTGTTGCCAGATACTTTAATGATAAAGGTTAGGGTAAAAATTCTGCCCTTTAATTTATTCATCCTGTTGCAGTAGTTGCACAAGAAAACTGAACTGTCCAGCTGTTTTTGCTGGCACCCTAAATTCCTGGTCATCACCTTCTATCATTTTCCCCACATGTGTCTGTAACACAAAAGGGTACTGTGGATCCAGGGCAATGAAGGATGAGGAGAAGATGAGGGAGTAAGGGAAAGCCTCCCAAAAGAGAGAAACTGCTGCGGTGTTTTGTTTAAATCAGTGACTACAGTTTGAAAACAGTTCAAAGCCTGCCAGCTCTGGAGTTTGGTTAGTCCAGTGATTGCTGTTATAAGATACAATAGTGATATAGATATCTCAGAGCTCTACTAGATTGTGAAATGTTGGTGGGAGGTTGATGAAACATCAAAGCAACTCTTTGCTAGCTGTGAAGGGCCCTGTCTTAAGTGGATTTAACTGGTACCCAGGCCATCCAAAATCACTAGACCAGGTTATTGGCCTATGTGTCCTTTAACTGGTAAGTGAAACCTTGGGCATGGATGTTTCTGTTCTGTGAAGTAGAGTTCAGTGGCTGTCTGACCTTTTGGTGTGACTGTGAAGAGTTAAAAGAACACTAATCATGCAGTGCTGATGCCTTACTCTGCTGGGTTTGCACCTGCAACCTGCTAATCTTCCAGATTACCCAAACATTACCTACCTGTGGAATAATGGAAATGGGACAAAAGGCTTTCTCCACTCTGTCTCTTCCACCTACAAAATGGGTCAGCTCTCCGCTCCTCCTGGCTGCTTGTCTGGGACAGCCCCTTTCTCTATTTTTTAATCTTTTCCCAACCCAGTTAGAGCATCAGTCAGGAGGTAGGGGAGTTCTTCCTTTTGATAGCTGCCCTCTTTCTCTCTTCCCCTACCCCGAGAGAATAGAATACCAATCGATGCAGTTCGTTCTCAAATCTTGGTGATGTCTATGAGCATGCACTGCTCTTGTCACCCTGCAACTGGTAGATAAAAATGGCTGCTAACCTAAATTTTAAGAACCAAATAATTTTTCAGTCATTTGTAGCCATTTCCTTCTGGAGCCCAGGTGTGGCTTCTTCACCAGGGGATTATTTTTTGGCAAATAAAGGAAACAAACAGATATATTTAGTTACTGAATAAAGCAAACAGTGTCTGAAAACAATTGAAACACTAACTTTTAATTAATCTCTCTTATATAATTTGTTGTTTGTGTTTTCTCTTTTCAAGTCTGAACTCCAAAGATGGCTGCAGCAGCAGTTGCTGGAATTATCCCTGTGCTTCACTCACTTGCTGGTGATGAGACCAGTTATTACATCGGACGTAAACTGTGGTTTGGCTTTTTAGGGTTATACGCATTGGTGATCTATGTGGAACGTTTGCCCTGGATCTCTCTCAGTAGTGACTTTCAGTGCCATGGTAACATCTCTGAACCTTGCATGGGAGAGTGTTTTGAACAACATTTCAACAAGCCTATCATTGGGACCTGGTACTTGTCTTGTTTCCTGTTCCTTTGTGTATTTCTCCTGATGGAATTCTTTGTCTTTCAACTGAGGCACAAACAAGCCAAGGTCAAAGATGGGCAGGAAAAAGAAGTTGAATTGAGCTCAATGATAGGAGTCCAGGAAGAAAGCCAAAGCCAAAAAAGTGTTCGCATTATAGATTTTCACATTCAGAAGTCACTTCTGTGCTTGTACCTTTTAAACTTCTTACTGCAGCTGGTAATCCAGTCTGTGTTTCTGTCTATTCTGCTCAATGATCACCTGCCACGGGTCAATAACTCCTCTATATTATGTAGCACCAAGCTCTGCCCAGGTCCTTACAACTGCCTGGTGATGGGATCAATGGAAAAGAGGATGTCAATTTACACTCTGGCTACACTGGCTATGTTTATTATTATCTTTTGCTGTGCATTTTTCATATATAGTATTCATCATTACCTGCTGAAAGGACTAGAAGAGCTGAGAGCTAGAGACTTGTGGCTGTGGGAAGTTTGATACTGTATTCAAAGCCACCAAATGGGTCAATTTCCACAGTTACTTCTGAATTGTAGAGAGCACATACAAATCTTGGACTTTTTCTTTTCTCCTCTAATTATTTTGTTTTCTGATTTAGTGATACACAGAAGATATCTGCTTTTTTTTTGATTAAATGCCATTGGGAAGCTTATCAGCATCTCTTGCTATTGAGTTATGTCATGTAATAAATTATGAAAATGGTGCAAGTTTCCATTCTGTACTCCAAATAAATTTTGTCCATGTCTATTATCAAAGCAATATACCAGGATAGTAAACTATCACTATGCATCTGACCATTGATGCTGATCATCAGTGCATAATACAGTGATGATAACAAATACCTCTAGCAGCTAGCATTTGGACAATAGATGGGGAAGATTCTGAGATATTTCAGAGATTTCTTTCCCAGGTGTATGGTTGGTGGATCCTGCTCAAATGCTTAAGATCTAACTAATTACTGTGGTACTTGTACCACAACCCCACTAGACTTGAATTTACCCCATTGGGTTTCTCAGAAGGAAAGGTGGCAGCAGTGGGGCCAGCTCTGGGGCCAGAAGTCTGATGGTTGGAATCTAATGCAACAGTGTGAACAAGCCTAGAACCAAATTCATACCACAGAGATATAATTAAGAAATAGGAGAAGGAATTAAGAAAAACTTCTTAGGTGGAGTCAATCTATTGTTAATATGAATATAATATGACATCTATTAGGCTACGGAATAGGTATATTGTAATGAGACGGAGGCATAAAGAAAAGAACAGCTCTGAAAAGTATTACATAGGAAGACATGGTAATGTGTGATATGGATGAAAGAAGGTGGGCAGATAAAGTATGGATGAAAGAGGGAGGAAGGAGTGCAAGTTAGCCCCAGCTCTTGACAGGAATGCAAAGCTACACATGCCTTTGCAGGTTGTGCAACTCCCTCATGTACTGTGTACTTTGGTGCTTCTGGGTATGTCTACACTACAGCACTAATTCGAACTAATTTAATTCAAATTAGTTAATTCGAACTAAGCTAATTCGAACTAGTGCATCTAGGCCTAAAAACTAATTCGAATTAGCGTTTTGCTAATACGAAATAGCATGTCCACATTGAGTGGACCCTGAACCGAGGTTAAGGATGGCCGGAAGCAGTGCCGGCAGGGCATCAGATTAGGACTTAGAGCGTGGAGCTGCTGTCTCAGGCTAGCCGAGGGCTGTGCTTAAAGGGACTCGACCCCCATCCCGGACAGACTGTTCTCGGGGGTTCCCCGCTCACTTGTCTAACTCGATGAGGGACAGCAAAGCAGTCCTGTCTTGGAATGCCCTGAGTGCCCACACTCAGCACATCACAGCACTCGGCCATCAGCCCAGCTGCACTTGCCGCAGGCTGCCATCTGGGAGGGGGTAAATCGGGGGGGCTGCAGGAGAGCTTTCACTCCGAGGAGCCCGCAGAGCCACCCCAGTCCTCCCCATCAGGGGCTCATATTCCATTCCTCCCTCACCTCCATCCCCTCTCTAGCCCCCCTTCTTGATGTACAAAATAAAGGACACGTGTGTTCAAAAATAGAAACTCTCTTTATTGAACAAAACTCGAGGAGACTGGGAAAAGGAGGTGGGAGAGGGGAAGAGAGAGGGTAGGAGAGGGGAGGAGGAAACCAGGGAGGAGGGTGCTGGAAGGGGAAAGCCAGAGGAAGAAGGCGGAGGGGAAGTATCAAACTATGGTATGCCATATCTTCAGTACTGTGTACAGATGTGATCTCCTCACCCCATAAAAGATATTTTGGCCTTGGAAAAGGTTCAGAAAAGGGCAACTAAAATGATCAGAGGTTTGGAACAGGTCCCATATGAAGAGAGGCTAAAGAGACTGGGACTTCTCAGCTTAGAAAAGAGGAGACTGAGGGGGGATATGATAGAGGTCTATAAAAGCATGAGTGGTGTGGAGAGGGTGCATAAAGAAAAGTTCTTCATTAGTTCCTATAATAGAAGGACTAGAGGACACCAAATGAAATGAATGGGTAGCAGGCTTCAAACTAATAACAGAAAGTTATTCTTCACAAAGCAAATAGTCAACCTGTGGAACTCCTTGCTGCAGGAGGCTGTGAAGGCTAGAACTATAACAGAGTTTAAAGAGAAGTTAGATAAAGTCATGGAGGTTGGGTCCATGGAGTGCTATTAGCCAGGGGGTAGGAACAGTGTCCCTGGTCTCTGTTTGTGGAAGGCTGGAGATGGATGGTACGAGACAAAT